CTTATGCCTGATTGTGTTCATGACCCATAGAATATAACCGAGAACAATATTAAAGGGTGTGTTGCAAAGGTGGGTAAGTCATATGAAATGAATTGATCGATGTTACAATGGTATGCATCATAGGGAGAGTACCTCTCAAGAGCTCAAATACACATATTACACAAAATTTCCGCAGGGAAAATGTTCCTCAGCAAGAAAAAGCATCAGATAACAAAAAGAAACATCAACTTTACAAATTCAAGAAAGGTATATGCAAGTCATGGGAAGCAACTGATGCCATCAAGTCTAAAGGGAAACATAAATCCCTTCCCATTTTAAGCCCCCCTGCAGATAGAGTTCAGTGATGCATCAGGTTCAAATTATGGTAATGCAAAAATATGGACCACTATGTGAATTTGTCTTCTTTTTTTTTTTCTTGTTCTGCTGAGATCCATTTGAATTTCGTGATGTTAATATTGATATCAATGTTGAAAATACTGCTTATCAGAGCATCAATATAATAGTTCACTCTACGAAACAAATCATGATATGAATATATAGGTTTCATAAACACTGCATGAAAGGATTTTGAGTGAAGGAACAAGTGAACAACGCACCCCAGCTGTCTGCTATTGACATCTGATGGCTGGGGTGAAGTCAAATCACTGTAGGAAACTGAAGTGCATGCTAAAATACTTTCACAATAATATATAATAGCACCTGTCAAGAAAATCATTATGTTTAATTAATTATATTCAAAATTGTGGCTAAATAAGTTTAAGTCAACCATGATCCAAAACAAATTCTCGAGCGGCAGCTTTCTTTTGTAACATACATCATTGTAATCACCGAACATAACTAATGAGAAATATTGACGAATCTCTCTCTCTCTCTCTCTCTCTGAGCACGTGCGCGGACGGACTTACGGACTTTGATGCAGACATGCATGCGTAGTTTAAGAGAGAATATAATGTGGAAGATATTAAAAAGAGGATTTTTAGCATTTACCTCATGCAATGGAAGTTCCCGAATTGACCGCCAAAAGAATTCCAGTAATAAATTAAGGATTGAAGATGTTTGATCCATCCACACTCAAAGCAATTAATACTGCTACGCTAGTTATAGCGGCAAGCCAAACTATAGCTGATCCTGTTAGAAATTCCAAGTGAATACAGAAAACACACCGTCAGAAACCAAGCGGTCCGACTTAGATAAGATCACAACTGGAAGAAACAAAAAATCAACCAATGATTGGATCACTGTTAACATGTATGATCAGAATTATGAGGAACTAAAAGCATTGCAAGAGAATGCGATAAAATGAAATAGAATGTCAGTCATAAATGTAGAATGAAAGCATACATTAGCACAATACAGAAAGTCATAAATGTAGAATGAAAGCATACATTAGCACAATACCGAAAGTCATAAATGTAGAATGAAAGCATACATTAGCACAATACAGAAACATTGATATTAATATTAGAGATAACTCTTTTTTTTTTGGGTAATTCAGTAGGGAAGACAGGCCCCTACCCGTTTTTTCAATAGATGTGGGAGTTACACTTTGAAGGTGTTAATTGGGGGTGTCAGCGGTAGGAATGGATACACCACAATGTGGTAACTGGGTGTGGGGATGCTACCACCATGACCCCAGTCCCTTTCCTATTAGAGACAACTCTTACCAACATAAAAGACTTCATCCAACTTGATGACTATACAGGTTTAATAAAAGGATTTGGGACCTATAGCTGCTTCTTAAAATACATCATTTGACAAATTAAGCATAAGAAACCAGATAAAAGGACATCCACATTTTAGTACTTGCCTTCACTACCATTTGAGCTGCTCTCAGGTTCAGTAGGTACAGTTTCTGAGTTGGAATTGGGTGATTTCGGGATGCTTTTATCTGATTTTGTTGCTTCGTCAGAACTCTTTGCCTTTCCAGCTTCAGATGAGACTATGCCCTGAAATTCCTCACTTACAATTAAGGCAGCCAGAACATCCATGAAGGACTCATTCTCCATGCCATCATCCAAATCTTTTTTCATTGGTGCGAAAGAACCATCTTCAACTTCAGGATATAAAATCTCATCATCAGATGCATCACTGTCCATTGATTCCACCTTCACCCCATCATCATCTTCATCCTCGACATAAGCCTTATATGTCAGGCGAAGTAATATCTCCCCAGAAGAACCCTTCCTAAAGAGGCCCCAACCACCTTGCAAGACTAGAATTCGATCAATTGGAACAGTGTCTTGAAGAGACCCAAGCTCAACCTAGAAAACAAACTCCGCAATGAATAGGAGATTTATGGCAAACTACATTGAAATTTTGTTTAAATATCAGCTTAAAGCACCGGATCATCATTTTTCCTAACTTCACAAGCATACCGCCAAACATAGCTAGTAGCTCAGAATGGGTGATTTGAGCCTCGACAATAGAAAACAGAGCGTTACACAATATAACAGAGCATTTACTACCTTCTAGGTTCCAGATATCCTCAACATGTACCGTTAGTCAAGAAAGAGGAAAACATGTCGAAGATTAATAAAGAGGATATGGAGAAGGATGATAATATGTCTATAGTCATAGCTCAACATGGCAGATTTCCATTTAATATCAGGGACCAAATCCAAAACTTTGAATTAATGAAAATTCATGGCTGCATTTTGAACTTTGTGCAAATATGATGCAGTACACCCACAATGAAAATATTGCATGTGCAGAATGAAACATTGAGTTTGTTACTCATCATCATCATCATAGCTTTTTCCCAACTAATTGGGATCGCCTACACGAGTCCTAGTCAGCCATTCTGCCTTATCAAAGACATTGAGTTTGTTATTATTATTATTTTTTTCTTTTTTCCTTTTTTTTGTGAAGTGATAAAAGTTTGTCATTATTTTTCTGTACACGTATACCCACAATGAAATTTTATGGTCCCAGATTAAAATTCAAATATGATTTTTTATGATTAATGAAAAGTGACAAGCTCTTCAAACGTAATGAATTATTCATGATAATGACCCATGGCAAGTGGCAGTCAAAATCTGTTAACTCTCTTTCTAAAACTCGATAAACTTGACCCTGCATTATTGGCATCCAGTATGAGAACACTTCAAGGGGGGGAAACATTATAATTTAAGGCATAGATAGACATCTATAATCACTTTGGATCCAGTGACTAGTAATTTACCTCTCCAGTGGCTATGGTGTAATCAGTGAAGCCAAATGAGTCCCTTACTTGGATGAATAACATTTGCTTTTTTGGATCAGCAACGAGGAAATGAAAATCCTGCCAACAAGCAGAAATTGTAACTCAATAAAAAAAATTGGTTTGACCATTCCGCCAACAAGTAGAAATTATCACATGGACACCTCACCTGATTCCAGATAGGAGCACCTGGAGGGCCAATAACAGTGGTTTGACTGTTCTTTTTACTACGAATTTTTTGATCTCCCAATCTTAAAACAACATATGGATCAGTCTTTCCTGGCAGCATTATTAGCAAAACGAAGATCAGATGAGCTCAAGTACAATCAATAACCTAGAGCAGACAAGATAAATAGGACCAAAAAAAAGGTTATTTAGAGAACAGTAAAGACAATCATAGAACTTGCATTATACTAAAAAATAATATACGTAAAAAACTTAGAAGACCATTAATGCTATCCTTGTTTCACTGCACCCAAATATTCTCAATGGTTCATGTTTCCTCTTTACATGGTGATAAAAGATAAATAGTTACATTGAAATGGGTTTTGCTATGTTTTTCTTCAGAAAAAAAAAAAAACTAAAACTCAATTAAGGTTCAAAAACTTGATTAATACAATTTGCATTAGATGCCAAATATGTTGAAACTAATTTTAAAATTTTAAAAAAATGCTAAGTATGGACATCTATTTCAACAGAAATTTCATCATTAGTCCATCCAAACTCTGGTCCAGTTGAAGCAACATTATTAACTGATTTTCAATGGCAAAAAAGGAAGAATCTTGGAGCTCGAAAGCCATACTCTGAATAGAAAAACATGCATAAACATATGCTCATATATCAACAAACCATTGTTAATAGCAAAAACTTGTAAAAAACTACAGGATTTTGAGCAAAAGTTGAAAAAGTCCAAAGCAGTAGTCCCAAACACCAACAATGCATTATGACCACAGAAACTATCCAAAAGGGTTTCTTAAAAAGAAAATATATAATTGTCATAAAATGCTAATGGTCAGAGAAGAATGGATACCGGAGAAGACATAAGCCAGTTTTTGAGCATCTACAAGAGTCACAGACAATTCACCAGTAAAATCTTTGTTGCCTTCTTGGATCACACCATTTTTAAAATCCATTGAAACTGGACCAACTGCCTTCCCTTTTTGGAAATCAAGCACAATCTTCTTTGGACGAACAAAGAGACGAGGCAGATCCTCTGTGAGAAGTTTGGTCAAGAACCTAAAACAAAAAAAAAATACTCAAAATTCAATGATAGCATAATAAACACACATATCAACAGTTCGATAGTTCAACCATTATAGTGCATATAATGGCATAAGATGGGAAGAAACACATATTTTAAACATCTTCCATGAGAACCAATGTCAACAAGCTTGAATCATGCATTTTAATACAGGGAGTTGGTCACTCTGCTGAGTTTTACATGTCTATATGAATCATGCATTGCAAATTAAATGATATTTCTGCATTCTCTATTCCACCAAGTTCTTTCATCTGTAATGGTAGCAGAGCCACTCGTTTGCATATTTGAGCACATCGGCCTTGGTCAAGAATTTAGAGGAATTTATGTCAGTCTAAGCCAACTCAATTTTAAACTTTTTTCAAATGCAGGTTCAAATGCGTGCATACAAACATGCACATATCACATATTCACAAGCTCCAGTGCATGTATATGCAACATAGATGCATGCAGGCATGCACAAAAATCCAAGTGCAAGCACATGCAAAAATATCGACATTGAACAAATGCATATCTAACATGTGCAAACTCAAACACAACAAAACATGCATGTGAATAGCAAATGAGGCAGTTTCTTGAACAAAGTTTGGTTCGATGCTAACTATCACAATGGTTATTGGACTTAATGCAAGCGACGTTAGAGACTGACACAATACTGAGCAAGAACTAGAGGATTCTTGCATTCTTACTCTCAGAACCCATGGTCATTTCCTTTTCTTTTCTTTTTTTGAGAATGGGTCATATTTCAGTTTTTTTTGACAATTAATAATTGATACAAGAAACTGTTCTTTTGTCTGTTGTAGGAAGAAAAGGAACCTGCAACCCATTGCACCATCAGCTATTTTTTTTTAAAAAAATTCTTATTGGTCATCATAAATTTGATCATCATCTTGTCTTCCCAAATTATATCAACCAATCCACAACATAAATTTACCTCAACGAGATCTAAAACGATATCTTCTTAGCAGAAAAAACACAAATCCACTTGGTTTTTTGGGAAATGACAAAAGACAATAGTTAGTAAAAGCCATAAAGAGAGAGATTTACTTACTTTGAGAGAACAGGAATGGCTGTTGTTATATGATCGTCAAACACATGCAAAACAAAATATGTGTGTCAGCAAATAGTCCTCTATATATATACACATATATATGGAGTAACTTTTATATGGCTAATGGTCCAGACCGAATCTGGCCAATCTAACATTCAGGATTCCTTCGCATTTGAATTTTAATATTTTTTATATAAATCCAAATCACTTGAAATTTGGATCGTTCACTCTTTTCATTTAGGTGCACCTAATAAAAATATTAAAAATAAATTACACAAAAATAAATAATATACACTACTAACTAACTAACTAACGTAACGTAACGTTAACGTTACGTTAACGTTTAGTTTAACGTTTAAGTTTAACGTTTAGT